AGCTTTAGACCGTGCTTTTTGCTTTGCATGTTTACTTAGGGTTTTTGTTCGATCTTTTCTCCCTTCCCTTGGAAAAATAAAAGTTCGGTGGTGATATTTTATCTTTACAAGTCAAGCTAATAAATAGCTTTGGTCTTCGATTCTCACTGCAATACCATTCAACTTACCAATCTTACCTCTATCAAAGAACTCCCTAATGGTAGTTATGACATCATGCTTGACAGTATTCCATGATTTTTTGAAAAATCTTGACCCATAGCTATCCAACCCAGGGGCTCTCAACTCACCAATTCTCTTCACAAGTTCTTCAATTTCTGTCACTAGGAGTTGTCAGTAAAGTCCTTTGATCATGGTTAAGTTGCTTCCCATTTCTCAATGCTACAATATCAACTTCTTCTAACTCATCATTGGCTCTTCCCATCAAACTGCCAAAGAAATTCAAGACTTCCCTTTCAATGTTTTCCTGAGTAGATATGATAGTACCATCCTCCATATGTAATATCCTCATCATACCCTGTTTCTGTTTATTTTTTAAGGTTGCATAAAAGAAAGCATTATTACTGTCTCCTAGCTTTATCTAGTCTATTTTTGTTATTTGCTTCAGAATTTGTTCCTCAATGTCATGTAAATTTAATAGATCTTCATTGCACATCTTGACTCTGCATATCATCTGGTTGTTCATTTAGTCTTGGTTCAGTTCCTGTTGATCCTCAGATAACTTATTCCTAGCCTTCTCAATTTGGTTTTTTATACCTATCATAGGCCTACTTAGCTTTCTCGTGATAGGTTGCAACCTAATGGACTTTTCCCAAATCACTTTCATAGGATCCCCTACTACATTCTTATTCCATCTTTCCTCAACTGCTCTGTTATACCCTTCTACCTCAGCCACACAATTTATAAACTTGAATTTTCTTTTGGCCACCTTGTTATGTACCTCACCTCTAAGACAAAGTAAAGCGTGATCAGAAATTCCAGGCTCAAGAATATGAACACTCTTCTCCATGTTATGTTGGAACTAGCTCATATTGGCAATAACTCTATCAATTCTAGAGTAGATTGCCTCATCACTTTGCTTGTTAGACCAAGTAAACCATTCACCCTTACTATCAACTTCAAACATACTAATGTTTCCCATCATTTCTTCCAAGTTACAATATCCGCTCTCCTTAACAGTTTTACCATCTACCTTCACAATGTATCATTTGATCATTACTAGTAATCAATCTAACCTCCACCTTATTAGGGTCCCATAAAATCCAAATACAACCATTATCATGCTTATTGTAATTATCAATATACAACCAATTTCCTCCCAGTATCTTTCTACTCTTATCAGCTTCTTAATTCTAGTCTCTAATATAATAACAATGGCAGGATTCAATTTCTTGAGACGGAAGCTCGTCTCTTTATTTTTCGCTATTCTATTTAGCCCCCTAATGTTCCAAGAGACAATAATATATTTTTAAAGGGGTCATTGTAGGGTCCTTCCAAACCCCCAATGTTGCAAATTCATTCTCGTTACATACTTTTGGTGATGACACTTCAGCCATATAGGCCTTTTACCTCTATCTTTTGTCTTCCTGCTAACTGCTCTCTATTCCCCTTCATCCTTGTCATCTTGTTGTGTTTCATCTTTTGTAGGGATCTTCTTTTATTATTCATTTCCCTCGTCCCTCTCTTTTGTACCATTTGCTAGAGTGCTCCCCATTTATTCCTCCTTGTTTACCTGTTGTGTATTCTTCCAAATCCTTGGCTGCCATTGTTTCATCGGAGCTTTCCTTTCTTTGTTACACCTATAGCCTACCTTTTGACAAACCTCACAATATTGAGTTTTCCACTCATACTCAACCTTCTGTTGTATCTTTCTTCCTTCATTATCCTTGATAGCAATCACTTCACATAATTTTTGGGTCACATCCACCTCAACCATTATCCTTGTGTATGTTACTCGTAACTTGGTCGCAGTGTATTCGTCCGTAAACATTGGTTTCCCTATAGCACTGCCTACCTTGCCAAGACTCTTTGCTCCCCATAGATGGAGAGGAAGTTGTGGCAATCTGACCCATATTGGAAGAGCTCTCATCATGTCACATTCAAGTGAGAAATTCGTCCTCCATTCCAATAACACCATAGGCATGTTATGGATTGTATACGGCCCCTTCATAAGTACTTCATCTCTACCATTTTCCGATCTGAACTTCAGGATGAAATATCCTTCATCGTTATAGAATATCTCCAGTGGTTGTATGAAACTCCAGAACTTGATGATATAGTTCTTCACAACGTTCATGCTCAGACTCGCTCCAATCACGTACATTATTGATTCGCTGTCGCGCGCGGATCAGAACGAGTGTTTTTGTAAAAATACAGTACAACGACAGTAACTCGAAATATCGTTTCACGAGGACTCTTGATTATTACTAATCGAATAAAAAGGGGGGGGGGGGGTTTGGTCGTGTTCAATTGAGAAAGAGTAATTAACAAAAGTGATTATTGAAATAAGCTGTTGTGAAATAAGTGATTATGAAATAAGCCAATCTACCGATTCGGTTCCTACTATCATTGATTGTTATAATTTTAATATCCTAAGCGTTCATTCCTATCTGGATACAAACTCAAAGACAAGAGCGATAAGGTTTGCAAGATGTATGATCCTACAGTCCGAATTAAGCAAATGGTATAAATTTTCATGAATTAAGCAAACATGATTATTCAGACACAAAAACGAATTAAGTAAACGTAAAAGTGTCTATGTTAGGATCATACAATCAACCAAATTGAATCAATGTATTTCATGCAATTGAATTAAGCATACAAGAATATAAAATATCATTGAACATAATTAAACAAAAATTAACATTATAACAATCTCAAGTGTTAGAACCTGAATTACGGTAAACTCACTCCAAAGTGATTAGTTCTCCATCATTCTTTCAAGCGTAAGAAGAAAATTATGAAAAATTATGAATACTGTGAAAGACACGTGAACAGTGTGATATTGACTGCTAGGTATTAGGGGAAAACCAAAACAGCCCGACTAGGTCAAATACATAACCCAGACCCAGTTCTAAATGACCCGAAACTAAATAAAACTAATGTTGCAGCTTCAACGAAATTCTGGGAAATATGCGCTCCGAATCTGACTTCGACTCCAACACAAAAGTTGTAGCTCTCTGTCTTAGTTTTCCGTCGACTGGTAGAACGCGTCGATTCGACTCCCGAAACTCCAGTTATGATCGTTTCCGTAAAATCTGCTAAAGTTGAAAATTAAGTACGAAAATTAAATAAAGGTAAATATCAACTGAAATAGAAAAACATTATAAAATATAAAAATGAACTAATCAAACCATGGAAATGCATAACTATAAACATGGAAGAATGTGCATCAAAATGCACTAATCAATTATCAGTGAAATTTCCCAAAATCTAACCTCATTCTCAACATCGTCATCATCAATTTCAACTCCAACTTCGCCATTGACGATCTTTGGTGACACGAACTGGATCGCTAAACCATTTGTAGGAACACGATTACCGTGTATCACATCCACCCATAGTCGTCGTGTATCTTCTGTTGATTCCTCCACAACCCCCTTTTGGTTCGTAATCGTCAATTTAAACCCTAATTTTTCTTGCATCATCCATCTTCTCCTCCCTTCAATTCAGATTTCCTTCTTTCCTACCTTCATCTTCATACACCTTCGTGATTGTTGTTTTTTCCATCTCCGATTGTGATTCACTCTTGTATCACGCATTCTCCCTTTCCTCCAAACTAAAGTTAAATGAAATCCCTCGCCCTGTCCTTGAGAGAGGTGTCACCGCCTGTTTATGCGGTCAGCCACGCCCCCTCCCCGTGCCTCAGAACGAATCCAACTAGAGTTAAATGAAATCCCTCGCCCTGTCCTTGAGAGAGGTGTCACCGCCTGTTTACGCGGTCAGCCACGCCCCCTCCCCGTGCCTCAGAACGAATCCACCACGTTTGCCAGAATCACACTGGAAATTGCTTTGCCCCAACATAGAGAAACAAGTTTTTTTTCACTTATTATTATTATTATTTATCTGCTCTTAATACAACTATGCGCTTTGATTATTATTTTTTATTTCAAAGACAAGAGCAGTAGAACTGTAATTATCAGCATTGTTCTATGATCTTTTAAAATGCTCGTATAATGAGCAACGTTCGACTCAAAGAGAGTGATGTCTACTCCTCCAAAATATCTTTGTTTATGTTGTTGTATGTTTTGTTTGCACATTGTTGTTCTTAATGTCCAACTCATTTGTTAAACTAATAATAGTATGAATGTAACCAAAAAAAGGCACGAGTATGAGTATGAGTTGGCCATTTAAGACCGTAATTAATTGTACTAAGCATGCTTGTTTGAGCAGAAACATACGAGGAGGAATTCAAATTCGTCATAATTTCCCGCATTCACAGATTCGATACTTTTGCGGTGAAATCTGTGACTGCTGGAAATAGTGATCCTACGAGGAGCTTGAGCATGATTTAGTTTAAACAATACTCTAGCAATATTCTCTCAACCTTTGCTTGAACAAACTTATGTTTTAGCAGTTTTGACAAATGTTTATGCATTTGATTTCCAAGCTGGGCAATAGTACTTCTGGGTAAATAATCATAACAATTATTTCTGTTCTGGATGGCCAAATAGTAGAATGCCAGTCAAGTTCTGAACAATATTCTTCGGATAAAGTTTCCCACCATAATATGAACCGATCAACAGAGGAAAACAAAAATAGTTCACCTTCTATAATTGCTAACTAGTTCTGTAACAAATCAGATGCAAGAATAAGAGAAAAAGTCAATACAATTTTCTAACTATTCCAATGGATCCCCACAGATGGTCCAAGGTATGAAGCCTATAGTAAATTCATATCAACAAAATTTGCCAAAAGTAAGCTGGTTTATCAACAGTTCAAAGCGTACACATTAAATGGCATGACATATATTTGCTGTTTTGAAACTAGAATGTATAAACAGACTATGCTTCTGACTGTATTACTTTGCCTGTTTCGAGTGCATCTTGCAGGAAGCCCACGGCATTTTCATAGTTCAGGAAGCCCATAAACCAAAATTCATGATTCTCAACAGAAATCACTTGGATGTACTTTTCGGCGGGGTTGGCTGTATTACATGAAGGAATCACTGCTTTAAGCTCATGTAGTGGAATGACTACCTACATTCATCACATAATCCATATCAACCGAATATATCACTTGATGCAATATTATTCTAAATCTCACATAAGCAAGAAAAAAAAAAAGGAGAAATATGCTTAATGTAATTATGCAATATTGTCATAGAAAAAATATGCACGAAATGATATATTATAGTAGAACAAGATCAAATGAATGGTGTTAATTAACTATTTTGCATATAAGAAATTGCATAAATAGAAGAACTTGAGAAAATTGGAATCCTGAGTCATGAAATGCAGAAGCAGAGCTGCCATTGCAAATCTTATTTAGTTTTTTATTTTATGGGAATTGCAAATAAATTTAGATATGCGTGTAAGAATTAAGTACAAAAGAAAATTTGTGAACTTCGCGTCATGGGGGAAATAACCAAAAGAATCCAACCAAGACCGTGAAACTAAAACTGTGAGAAAGTAAAATTAAAAATCAGAGTGATATCTCAGAAACACTATTTATGTTCTACAGTAGAACATAAATAGTGTTTCTTAAACTGTAAAATGTAGACTATTAATGTAAGGAATCATCACTGGATTTAGTAGAACTTCTACTAAATCCAGTGATGAGTCCTTACATTAATAGTCTACATTACAGTTTAAGACAGCTAACTAACTCTAAGGATGATGTTACAATTGTAATACATGCATAACAAGAAGTAGATTACAGTTACAAAAGCTACCAGTTGTAACTGAAATCGATGGGGGATAGAGGAGAGAGAGAAGGACTGGTTGAGGTGTGAATCTAACCTATGAAGAAAAGGGAAATCAAAACACATTAAACAGGACATCCTTTGAAATGTAAACTGCCTTCAGGGGATAAGCATTTTAACCTTATGTGCTAAAGAGAGTATCCAAGAAAAGTACAGTCAATGGAACGAAGTTATAACTTGTAATGATTATTACAACACGGTAAAGGCTAGTATGCACAACAACAACCTTTAGAAAGGTATAGTCAGGGGACTGATGAAATAAATGAACAGCAGCAACATCAATGTTTACAGCTGTTATAAGGATCAATGTTTACAGGTGTAGTAATGAATCAATGACAATTTAAACTGTTGTAAGGAATGCATGGCTCCGGATGCATAAGGGAATGACTTTGGATCCTCTCATGTTTGTTGAATCCAACAACCTATGTTTGTGATCTCACCACTAAAACTCATTGGCTCTCACTTATATATTTGATTAGTAGAACTCATTGATCTTGAATGGTGAGATTGCCAATATCCAAAATAACTACCTCATGTTGGGTTCCAACATGAGAGGATCCAAATTTCTAGGGAAATGATTGATAATGTAAACAATAGTCAGGAATGCATGGTCCAAAAATTTGAAGGTTAAGGAAGCTTGGCTCAAGAAAGTTAAGCCAGCTTAAACTGTGGGTCAGTGTTTGGAATTTTTCACCCATATACCCTACATTTCCCCACCTAAATCCCAAACTACCCAACATTTCCCCATATATCCCAATCTACCCATGTTTGGGATTTTTTTTTTAATTTTATACAAGGGGGCGCCATGGGGGTTGGAGCCTCCCTTATAATTTGTACGGGGGCGCCATGGGGGTTGGAGCCACCCTACAAATTATAAAGGGGGCGCCATACCCATTGGAGCCTCCCTTAAATGCCCTAAAGGGGGGCGCCGTGGGAGATGGAGCCCCTTCTTTAAATTATAAGGGGGGCGCCGTGAGGGATGGAGCCCCTTCTTTAAATTATAAGGGGGGCGCCGTGGGGGATGGAGCCCCTATGACACGTGTAAAAAAAGTAACTTTATGCATGCATGCAGTAAGACAAGTGTACAAATTATAAGGGAGGCTCCAATGGGTATGGCGCCCCCTTTATAATTTGTAGGGTGGCTCCAACCCCCATGGCGCCCCCATACAAATTATAAGGGAGGCTCCAACCCCCATGGCGCCCCCTTGTATGAAATTAAAAAAAAAAACCAAACATGGGTAGATTGGAATATATGAGGAAATGTTGGGTAGTTTGGGATTTAGGGGGTGTTTTGTAGGGTATATGGGTGAAAAATTCCAGTGTTTGCATTCTATGATATACCATTTTAGTGATCGTAGGTGTAGGGAAATATTATTAGATAAATGATCCCATACTGAGCTAGAAATGTGACAAAGGATGAAGATGTTGTGCAGTACTAAGTAGCTTGAGCAATGAAGAAGACAATGTGCTTTGTCCATGCGGCATGTAGTACAAAAATTGGAAGCACCTTGATTAGTAGAAAGGGCATATCTTGAAGCTTGAAAACAAATTAAACTACCCTAGAATGCAATGTCCTAGCCTACAACACTGCAGAATGTATGAAGTGGTGGGTATCGTACTTGAAAAACTAGTGGTAATAACATGAACAGTTAGAGTAGGAAACTCAGAAGCCGAAACACCATAATAGCTGTCACCAAAGGTGTGTTTGTGAGTTGTATTTTGGATGGAATTTGGAGGGTTAAATCTATATTTTGATATATATTCAATATTTTAAAAAATTTTAAATAACATGTTACATGAGAATATAATATTCTGCGAGTTGCATCCACGGAGTGTCTTGAGGAGATCAGACTGGGAAAGCTTTTTGTGAGATAAGTTGACGTGAGATGTGTGGAACAGATTATAAGAATTAAGAACCTTGATTTACTGAGATAGTCCATACTAGGACCAGTGCTCAAGAGTCTAGATATATTAGAGAATTTGAGCATGACTCATAAAATAAGGGAAAGGTTGAAAATTGTGAGAAAGAAAAGGATAGTAGTAAGATGCAGGAGAGAAATCCCAGTGGAACTGTCTTTCATATTGTATTTAAGGAGTCAACAGTACAGTTGAAGACTTAAAACAGCCATTTAAATATGTTGCTGCAAGTTTTTTTTAGCATTGTATTTTAATGAAGAAAAGGCATGCAGGTGTGAAAAATATGTTGCTGCAAGTTTTGGACAACAGCAAAATTAAGGTAACTATTTTATGGAGAAGGATAAAATATATATTCTCAGTTTTCTCAAATATTATTTAGGAGTAATGCACAAATCAAAAGAATTAAAAACCACACTGATTCTACCCAAAAACAATAAACCCCGGAGTGAGAATACAAGTGGACAATGATAAAGATACATGACAAGAATACAAATTATCATGTATTTTGATGATAAAAATAACAGAGCAAAAGTATAGTATATTACACATCTCCTTTAGAACAATTAAGTCCTTTCGGTCAACCCTGTACTTTACGTCGTAATATTTTTTTCAGAGCATATATAATAGAGTTTCCACACTCTCAGTGGTGTAGTTTACACACACAGTTACAATATATGTCTATCTTGTTTTCTTTCCTTCTTTCAACACATACCAATATGAGCTAAGAAGATTAAACTTAATGACATTTTTCATTATTAACAGTTTCATGAGCTGCTGCCTTACTAAATTTAACATAAAACAGATCGATTACATATTCAGAAGCCAATCAGATAGAGATTACACAAAAAAATTATTGTGGAAAATAGAACTTCATGATGCAACGCAAACTTTCTCTTTTCTATGATAGTTTATTGAATGTGTGTACCTTATAATAACTCCATTCTGTTTTGTCCTCAGATTTGTAGGAAATAGGATTATCACTAGAATAAGCAATCTTTGCTGTGGATATATACAACACTCCCATTACAGGACCGGCTGACGTGGATAGATAACATGCAAACGAGTTCTGAAGCCGTTCTTCTGGAACAGTGTCAAATGTACTCAGAAATATCTTCTCGTATCCACCTTCTGCCAGGACCTTTGTTCCCTGTGCAATTCTTCCCATAGCAGCTTCAGTCATGCTAGGGCTTGTTTTCACTTAAATACAATGTATCATAACAAGCACATTTCAGTTGTTTAATATAAAAGCTTCATGAGGATAATGAGATAGTGAAAACAAAAGAATATAAGGCACAAAAGATCCCTCAATAACATGATTGGTACAATAGAATGAGCAAACCAATACACTCAGTACAAGCACCTTCCCATGATGATATTAACACAAAGGAAACTTCAAATAAATTATACACCATCAAAGGTCAATATACAACATAGAATAGTTTGGTACCCTTAAAAATGGTAGTGAAGATTTAAGGGATGAGTATTCAGTGTATAATATGATTTTACATATATATCCATGGAAGAATTCTCACTAGGACTAATACGGATATACCAAATCAAACCAAGAACTACAAATAGAAAATCAGTAAAAGATCATTAACATTTCAACACATATCAAAATAACTCAAGAAATCACAGACCCACATACAATCAAATCAATAAAGAGTGGACCACATCATTACAGACAAGTATTTGATTGCAAATTTGCGATTATTCTTCTATAACGGGCGGGACCAACGGTAACTGAGTCTAGTAGTCCCACAACATGACAAACACAAGACACCATATGGAAACTTTTGACAAATACTTAAAATGCATTAGTTACAACTCTAATTGATTTGTTAATCAAAAGCCAACACCAGCATCATTCAATTTGCATCTACTTGAAGACTACGAAACAAATAAAGAATAAACGAGTGACAAAAGAAACACAGAAAACATACAATGCTGCCAAGTGTTTCCAGCGAGAGCCTCGGCCTTCCGAGTTGCCTCTCCCACCTTCTTACTCCATCTTCCAAGCACATTACGAACAGTCACCACCGTCTCTGATCACAACAAACAATACAATCATACACAAATACATATAAATTCCATATGCATGCAAACAAAACTCGTATGCACAAAAACCGTAATAAAATTATGAAAAATGATGAGAGACAAAATCAACGGAATCCTTACCCATGACGTTGAATGAAGGAGGAGGTTGAGAGAAAGAAGGAGAAGCAGAATTGAAGAATGAATTGGAATGCGTTCCTTGAGGGGAAGATGTGAACGTGGATTCCGTAACCAATTCAGGACTCCAATGCACCGATTTCTTCATGCTAACGTGCGATTCGGATCCAGATCCCGATACCGATCCGGATCCCTTCGCTTCGGCGGAGTCACCGTCTAGGACATGAGATTCATTGTCTGATTTCGCCTTCGGTTGTTCCATAGTGTTTAGTTGGAGGATGGTGGCGGCGCGTGAAAGCGCGTACCAATGTGAAGTTTTGAAGAATTGGTTTTTTTTTTAAGAGATGGACTTGGAAATGGAATTTTTTGGTTGGGAAGAAGAAGAAGGAAAGGAAAGAGACGATTGGTTGAATGCGTTGGCTTTTTTTTAGCGCGAATACCATTTCCGGGTGCTTTTAGTCCATGAACTTTCAAGGGTACGGAAGGAAATTTTTATGAAGTTTATTTTTTTTTAATGAAATTTATTAATCTTCCACATATTAATAATTCACAAATATTAAAAAAAAATTAAAATAAAACAACGATCATTTTATTTGATTATTTATAGTAGTGTTTTTTTAATAGTTATTAATTATCAAAAAATAATAATTTATTTACATCAATACATAAACATAAAAATTTAAATAAGTATAATTTTTTTATATATAAAAATCTTTAAAACTAAAATAAAAATTCAGTGGCGACAGACTCAAAAATCCAACCACTAGATTCACTGTTTTTGGTTTCCATGGAAACCCTAGTAAGCAAATGCGTCTCTAAGTTGTTCTCTCGTTTCGTGTGGGAGAAAACCACATTGTTGATCAAAACTTTCATCTTTCATATGCGCCGGCACGACATTCCATCGTTGTTCCTTGGAATCTCGTCATCGCTACCATTTATTATCGCCACAAGATCTAGGTTTTCTGATTCGAACTCCTCCCTTTCCATCCTTTTTTTGATCGCTTGTTCTATGGCTCTCTTCATTGCCATGGTTTCAGCTGCGAACGAGTCTTTTTCTCCCTGAATTTTTCTAATGTTTAAGTATAGAACATGGCCCTCATTGTTCCGAGCTATATCTCTCAATCCCTAGAAACTGCCTTCGACCAAGATAGCATTGGTGTTGATTTTGATCCATCCCTTCATAGGAGGATTCCATCCGTCTCCTTATGTGTGAGTGTCTTTTTTCATGTTGTTTACTTTTAACTTCAAGATTTTACTGTGGTGAAACTAATTGTTTTTTATTATTTCCTTTTCATGCCATTCCTGATGAGGTTGGTTCATATGCCACTCATTATGAGGATGAGGTAAATCGATGGTAGCTTTATCCTTTTCTTTCAGGTTCTTTTATTTCGATATGTTGTTTTTTATAAGGTCTACTATTTTTTTGTCATTATTCTGAGTGTTTTTCTCATTCTCCTCTTTGTTGTTCTGATACATGGTTTGAAGGTGGTTATTCATCTTGTCTTTCATGGTTTTCATCTCAGGTATCTCAGGTGTGGTTTTTTCAAAAGCATCTTTGACTTGGGTTTTATCATTGTCTTTCTTCTTTTATTCATAATATTAGTAAACTATTCATTTCTCTATTGTTTCAGGACTTCCAAACATTTTGTCTTTCTTATTGGTGTGGCAACCTCCCTGGGTGTTATTCCTTTGATCATCCTTAGGACGTCTATTAGAGGGTTAAGTCACATATATGTTATCGTTCTTCTCCCAAAACAAGTGATTCATTCTCTGTTGTTCTTTTTTCCTACTTTTTTGTCTTTTGAAACTATCCTTCTTTTGATTTTTAGAATTTTGATCCTGATTTTTCTGATGGGAAATATTGTTGTTGTTTTTTTTCCAAGAGCATCTCTTTGATTGTGGTGCTTTTTCGAATTCCATATCTGCTGGCAATCAGTGTGGTTCTTATTTGTACTCATGATTACCTCCCTAACATGTAAGTCCTTTTGATCAAAACCAAGTTTGTTTATGGCAACTCAAATGTCACCTTGGATGTTTATAAATCTAGCAAAAGTGTCTTTGTTCATTAAAATGATGTTTTTTTTGCTCCATTCAATGAAGTTTGTGTCACTGATGTTGTTGAACTTTAAATTTACTTGTGAACCAAACTACACGTGTTGAACCCACAAATACTCCATTAAACTATGAATTATTATTTCTAGCTAAATCCATGTGAATAACCTTGTGACTAAGGTTTCTTTTAACATGGATGATGTTGTTTAGCAATCTCCGTAGGAGGTACTGTTTTCTAGGGGTGACTCTGCAGTCCCATATTTTTTCCAAGTTTCCTTGTCATAATTTCTAGTTGAGCTTTCTATGTTGTGAGTATTCTTGTTTTCCATTATGTAGTAGTATCTTGATTCAACCGAGCAATGCCCATCTTTACAAGCCTTGCAGCTGAGGAAATCGTCTTCCTCCAAATTATTTAGGGGAACTTTTAGAATATTGTTACGATCGATAGGTATAAATAGTTGATTTATAAGATCTTGGTTCCAATAACCAATTCTCACCTCAATGAGGTCCCTAACTCCAAAAGTCCTCGTTTCTAAGGGTATTCGTGATAGGATTTTAAACCTGCATTGGCTAGGAATCCAATTATCCTTCTAGATGTTAGTTTTAGTTCCATTACCTATATCCCAACAACTCCCTTGTCTAATGATTTCAATATTGTGGTACAAACTTCTCCATAAGTATCTTGGATTCCTACCCAAAGAGGCTCTTATGATATCCTTGTTGGGATAGTACTTTGATTTGAGAATTTTAGCCACTAGTGTGTTTGAATCTTATGTAACCTCTATATCTACTTAGCCAACATGGCTTTGTTGAATTCATGAATATTTCTGAAACCAAATCCTCCCTCTTGTTTAGGCTTGCACAGATTATGCCATTTCATCCAGTGGATTTTGTTTTCCGCACACCAAAGTCTAAATATTAAACCTTCCAGTTCCTTGCATATGCTTTTGAGAAGAAGGAAATAACTCATGACATATGTGAGAATGGTCTAGGCGATGAGAGTGGCCCTGCCAGCATAAGAGAGGTTATTTTCTTTCCAAAAAGTAAATTTTGTCCTTACCTGGTCCACTATAAACCTGAAACTCGTAGCTTTTGATTTACCAATAACCGTTGGAAAACCAAGATAGTTGTCAATTTAAATGCTCTTAATGATACCAAGTTGCTCTTCGAAAAAGGTTATTTTGGGATTAGTAATGTTCTAGCTTCTTGCTCTTCTGCTCGAAAAAAAATAATCTTTCATCTGCAAAAATAAATGTATTATGTTATAGGTTGTTCTAGCTATTGTTATGCCCCTGAATCTTTTTTGAAACACAGCTTTTCCAATCATGTTAGAGAAAACATCAACACACATACTAAAGAGATAGGGAGATATAAGGTCTCCCTGTATTATACCCCTAGTTGGAGTGAAAGTATTTGTTGGGTGGCCATTTATAAGAATAGAAAAAGAAACTCTGTTAACACACTTCATAATAAGAGTAATAAATGAAGGTGAGAAAATACTTAGAAGGGGGTTGAATAAGTATGAAGATAAAAACTTAGAAATAAAAACTCAAGTATTTTAATCCTGGTTCGTTGAACTCAACTACTCCAGTCCACCCTTCCTAGAGTGACTTGCCTTTCTCAAACAAGGACTTAATCCACTATTTAATCAACTGATTACAATAGTAAGCACTAAGAACAACTGTTCAAAGTCTTCTCAAGAACTACTGATCCTAACTGGATCTTCTTAAGGTTTTCTTACAATCAAATGTAATAACAAATACAAGTGTTTAAATTGCTTCTAATAAAGCTTTATCACAACTGTGATTTTTCACTTAAAGTTAAGAACAAAGAAATTAATTCTAGAAAGAATATGAATAGTATGAGAGCTTTGAATATGATTTCTTTTCAGGTAAAACGTCAACTGAAGAAGATGGGTGAAGACTTGCTTTTATAGGTAGCTTGTTCCATGAGGTCTTCACGTTGAGAAGAGTGTCCAAAAGGTCTGAGCCTTTTTGTCTTCACATCAAGTGACCTTTCCTAGAAGAAGAAAGCACAGAGAAATCCTTTTTGTCTATGTACTTGTGTCTAGCATAAATAGGGAAAGAGTCGTTTGGATTATTCCAACGGTCATAATCTTTGAATAATTCTTCTTCAATTTTCAGCAAGTTTCATCAGAGTCTAATTTGATCAGAGCCTTCTGATGTTGATCAGAGTTTTGCTGAATCAGAGTCTTTGCAGCTTGGTGTGCTTTTAGCATGAAAAAGTTCAGAGCATATTTGAGTCAGATCCTCAGTACTGGCAGCTTTAGTACTTTCAGAATCTTCTGTAGTAACTATGCTTTGAAAACTCTTCATACATAATTCATCTTTGGTTCAGATGCTTCTGACTTGCTTCAGATTCTTCTAGAGCTTCTACTTCAGATCCTTCTGGAGCTTCTGCTTCAGATCCTTCTGGAGGCTACGCTCAGGATCTTCTGTTGGCAGCATTCAGAATCTTCTAATGGATGCATCTGGCGCTTCAGAGTCTAGCATATTTCTTATGTTCAGTTCTGATTTGCTTCTGGAGTGATAATTACTTTACTATCTCCAGTAAAAACTCTTAAGCAAATTTTAGAGTATATAATTCTTAATTACAAAATTTCATAATATTTATCATCAAAACATAGAGATATTATTAAGAACCAATCTGTGTTCTAACAATCTCCCCCTTTTTGATGATGACAAAAACATCAGAAATTTTGTTTAATTGAAAATAGAATAATTATAACTCCCCATGAGATGATGAATCTCCCCCTAAATTAAATGTAAGTAAGGAATAGAAACTTCCCTTTTGTCTTGAATATTTTCAGAGTTAGAGCTTGATTGTTCTTTAACATTTGAGAGTCAGAGTGTCTTGCATATTTCAGAGTCATAGTCTGATAATTGTCAAATGATCTGAGAGTCTCAGAGTTTCTTTTACAGAGTGCTTATCAAATGTTCTGAAATACTCAGATTTTATGTTAGATAAAATTGATATGTCTGAAGTTTCATTCTGGTGAAGTTTAATTAAACAGTTCAGATCTATATTTTCTCCCCCTTTTTCGTCATAAGCAAAAAGTAATAACTTTGAAAAGACAAATAAAAGGAAACAATAAATGAGATAAATCATGTGGAGAAAACTTTGAAACATTCATTCATTCAATTCAGAGCAAGAGTACACACATCAGAAGAAAATCAAAATACATATGCA